CCTCGCGACGCGATTTTCAGCCGGCGTACTCGCTCGCTACCTTTCTTACGCGGTGTTCGCGCTTCGAGACACGATCGGAATTTCGTTTAAACGACGCGCCGCGCCACTCGAAGAAGGCAGAAAAGTCCGAAACGGCGACGGACTCGGTTTCGACGAACCGAGCGGACGAAGCGATCGAGCTTCAAAGCGCTAACGGGTGGTCCGCGCCGGACCCACCCTCGTCGCGCGCGACGCGACGACCACGAGAACGACGGAGTCGAGCCGTTGATGACGATGATGAGGTGCGAAGAGACGCCTCGGCAATTACCTCGGGCCGACTCGCTCCTTCTTTTCGTCTCCGCTCCTCTTCCACCCGTCCATTTATTCTCTCTTTCGCGTCTTCGCTTTCCTTCTTCTTTCACCTCGGCTCGTTATCTCTCGGTTCTTCTTCTTTTTCTCCGCTGGCTGTTTCTCGGACCAGTTAAAGCGACGAAACGCTCGAGAGATCCTCGAAAGATCTCGACGGGTGTCGCAGGCGCGAAAAAGCGAACGCAAAAAGATCGAGGGAATCGGAGAAACGCGAACGCGCATCGATAACTCGTAGAAAGTGGTCGGTTCGTTGGGCTTACGCGACTCGGTAGGATGTCTCTCGTTTAGCGGCCGGTCTCGAAATTCATTCGTCGCGGTTCGCGCCTTTCCCGTCGCTGGTCGTTATCGCGTTCAACGTTGTCTTTCGTCTTCTTTATTGGCGTCGTTGTCCTCGTCGCGGTCGTAGCGATCGTCGTTCGCGTCGTCGTGCTCGTCGTCGACGTCGAGGGATGCGCTCGTTTAGCAGGGAGCAAGTTTTTTTTTCCCCCGGACCGCCACTTCCCGTGTACGACGCTGCTCGGCGCGGCGTATCGTCGCGGACGGTTTTTGTCTTCTTCTTGTCTCTCCTTTCCGAGTCTCGTAACGACCTCTAAGACCGACTCGATTCGTCTTTCTCGCTCGCGCGCGTCATAATTCATAACCTAACTGCCGTCCTCGTTCCCTCTGGCCACGCTCGCCGCAGCTATTGCTCCATCCGTTCTGCTCGCTCCTTATCGCCAACCGATGTCCCTCTTTCTTCCCGTTTCTCTCCCTATTTTACTCCGAGCCTCGCTTTTCCCGCTCCGTCGCTAATCGTTCCGCTCGTCGTCGCGATCGTTCGTTATCCGAATCGGACCGCTTACCTACGACCGTGAGCTCGTTCACCTTCGAGCCGTTTCGCTCTCGTGAAAATTATCGAAGGACGTTGTTCTCACGAGGGAGAAAGAGAGAGATAACGCGGAGATAAGCGTCGAGTCGAATCGGCCTCGAGCTCTCGAGAAAACGTCTCGAATCTGGGGTCGTCGCGGCAGGTAACGTCGAACGGGTAATTCACCGACGGTTAATAACTAGGAAAAGAGGTCGAATCGAGCGTAACGGTGGAAGGAAGATCTGGACGAGTGCCAACGGTGTTCGACGCGCGATAAGCGGCGTCGCGGGCTAGCTCGAAATTTCGCTCGTTATCTTGGCGTTTCGCGAATTGTTCCGAGGGGAAGGGAAAAACGCGGTCGCGAACGAGTCGAAGCAGAAGCAGCAACAGCAACGGCGGAGAAAAGGGGCGGACGTACCAGAGGGGAAGGAGAAAGAAGGAGCCGATGGTTTTAGTGGCTGCAGGCGTCGGCGTCGGCACGCTCGAACGAAAGAAAACATAAATAATCGCGTTCAAATGAGACAGAGGCGCGGCAGAGGGCGAAGAGGCGCTCCCGTGGAAACCACACACGGCGGCTGGACGGTTGTTCGCTCGGCGCGTACGTACTCGTCGTTTTCCAACTCGCGAACAGTTTTCGCGGACATTATCGCGTCGAAGAAAAGACAGGAAAAGAGGAATCGAAGAACGCGCGAGATGAGAGGAGAAGAAGAGAGACTAAATAGTGGCGCTCGGTGATGTTCCAAGGCGACCCTTTCTTCGATGAACGCGTCTCTATTAAATCTATTATTAGGAGCGGACCGAGTGCGAAAGCATCCCTTTCAATTATCTACGGCTTCGTTTCGCGGAGCTTCTGCGGAGGGTGCAAACTAGGGACAACCGAGGGAACGTCGGCTCCTTTTTTCCTCGCTCGTTCCGCCGACCGGGAAATTCTGCTCGCGTCGTCCTCGAGTTATCGTCCGTTCGTTATCGCGAGATCGGATCGTAGCGGTGCGGCGCGAACGCGACAACGAACCAAACGAAATTCCCTCGAGTTCGAGAAACCGTGATCGTTCCCGAGAGAGAGAGAAACGGAGATAGGAAGCGGACAATCGGGCCTTCGCGTTCGCAAATTCTCTCTCGATTTTCGTGGACGATTCGCAGCTGGACTGGTAATTGGCTACCTGTCCTTCGATCGGTAAGACCAATCCGTGTTTGGGCCTTCCGCGCCTTTGTTCGGTTCGCGTAACAAATTACTCGCTGCACCGAAAGCGAATCGCGCCCTTTCAATGCGCGGCGTGTCTCGTACGCGCACGAGTTTTACGCTCGGAGGCATCGCGTGACGTTCCGCGACGTTCTTTCTTCCGTTCGCGCGAGATCGAACTCGAGACCGCGCGCGTTTCGTCCTCGAAACGAAACGGGGCAACGACCTTGTTCCCGCGCTACGCTCCGCCGATACCGGTGACAAAAATCTCCGGCATTTTTTTGCGCGATTCCCGCTATCCCACCCGATATAGAGTAAAATATCTGGCGGTTCGCGGCGGTCGCTGCCACGATTTATACGTCCCGACGACGCTTTGGCATCGAAAGAGAACGAAGGGAAAGGGGAATAGGAAGAGCAGGAGGAGGAGAACGATACGAAACGCACGAGGAAATTTATCACGGCGCGTACCACTCGCCGCGCGTCCACCGTGGACGCTGTAAATCGGTCTGGGAAGTGGTCCAACCGTTTGGTCGGCCCGTGTCAGCGAATCGTATAACTTGCGCGCCGTTCGCGTCCTCTCCGCTACGAAAATTCTTCGCGGCAGCGATCGAGAATCGTTTCGCATCGACGAGGAAGCGGATTTCGGTAGACGATTGACGACGAGCGGAAAGGAACGAACGACGAAAGAAGAGGATGGGGAGCGGGGCGGAAAGCGAAGCGGAACGACGACGCGGTGGAAGTAGCTAGATGCGCGCGAGCAGAAGGACGCTGACGGCGGAGGTGGGCCAGATGTTTGGCTAATGATGTCAGCGGAATCGTAACTAAAACCGAGGCAGCTCCGGGCTTAGCGCGGCTTAGCCTCGGCTTTGAAGGAAAGAGTCTTATTACCAGGCTGCACGTGCTGCTCGTGAGCGCGAAACCGTAGGGTAATTGGACCACCCACTCGACACCGAGTCCGTCGTCGTCGTCGTCTTCTTCTCTCTTTTTCCTCTCTTCTAGTCTCTCCGTTAACCACTCCATCTCGGCTTTCCCTTTCCAGACGGGAAGACTCCTTCTTTCACGAGGGAGAACGGCTCCTTTCGTCGAACGAATAAACCCCGCGCACTCCTCGCAACTCCTCTACGAGTAATCGTTCGAAAAACTGTCAAACGAGCCTCGAATCTCGAGCGACGACTCGTTCGCGATGGACGCGCGACTTTGATCGTGGCCACCTGCGATTTCGTCGCGTCTCTCGGTCGACGTGGGTGGGCCGAGACGAGCAACTCGACTCGCCTCGAAGCCGACTTAGGGTAGATTTCCACGTTAGGGTAGATGCCCCGTTCCGCGAGTTTCGAACGCACCCGTCGGTCGGTCGCGCGCGCGATCGTTTTCCCGGCTTCTTTCTAATTTTACGAGCCGTTGACTCCCGATCGATGGAACGAACCGTTTCGAAACGGCCACGCGTCGTTACCGCGACGACGGTGACGTAATTTCGCTCTCTGTTGCAGATCACGAAGCTGAAGATCGACAGCAATCCGTTCGCCAAAGGGTTCCGAGACTCGTCCAGGCTGACCGATTTCGAGAGGTAAAGACCGACGATCGTCCGACCGGCGGGGTCGAAACGATACCGCGTCCCGAGAGCCGTATTCGCGAAAATGCGTAATCGAGCAGCTTCCCTTTCAGGGAGACGATGGAATCGATGCTGGCGGAGCAGCAGACGCTGAGGTTTCCTCATCGGCTGCCCTTCGAGATGGAACAACTTCAGGCGGGAGCGGTGAGCAACCTCAGTCTCGAGGAGAAGGCGTTGTGGGCGGCACGGTCTCAGATGTTGCTACGAGCCGCAGCGGCGGTCGCGGTCAGTCCGTACGCGCAGCTGGTCGGACCCGCGGCTCTGGTGTATCCCGGTGCTTCGTCGGCCGGTACCAGCCATCAGCAGCAGCAACAGCAGCAGCAGCATCAGCAACAACATCAGCAGCAGCAGCAGCAGCAACAGCAGCTGGGACACCTGTGGTGGGCGTCCTCGATCGGACCTACCCTGTTCGCGGCCGCCCATCACCAACAACAACAGCAACAGCAGCAACAACAGTTGGCCAGCTCGAGTTCGCAGAGTCCGAACGCGGGTCCAGCGGCGCCTCGACCTCTCTATCCTTCGGCCCTGGCCCTGGCGCACCATCGATTCTCCCCGTATCACACTGCCGCCGCTCCCAAGTCGTCCACACCCCTCGGAACCTCGCTCTCGCCCTCCAGAAGAGCTACGCCCTCTCCGACGGACAGTCTCGGCAGAGACGCTCAGGACTTGTCGCCCTCGTAGTCGCGAACCAGGCCAGTCCGGTGAGATCGCGTTCGTGAACCTCGGGACCACTCACCGTCCGTCGGCCGAAGCGGCGCCGCGACGCGGACGAACGACCGGTGAACCATCGCCTTTCGTCGAAGAGAAACGATCGGTGACGGTCGCCGCGCGAACACCGCCAAACGAACCACTGTAAATATCTAAGCGCCCTACGACGATCTTTGACTGTACATAGCTACGTGTACGCACGAATTCGCGAGCTCCGCGTTCGCCCAACGTGAGTTGTATATTTCGTATCATGACTTATCGTTATTTATGTTTCGACTCCGTACTCGACGCGGAAAAACGC